CATCCACTGCTTGTTTATTTGGGCAGAATGCACTGCTTGTCAAATTTGTATTCCAGCTGTACTGACAAAATCTAAAATGAATATTAAGAATATATTTGAAAGAATTAAAAGAAATTAAATAATTTATATTTGTATGTCAATATCAAAATTTGAATAATCAGGCTAATTTTAATATTATTTTGTATATGAAAATGATCACTTATCCCAGTACTATAAAGTTTAATACTATAATTAAAACTAAGTAGTATACACTAATTAAAATATAAGCAATAAACTCATTTTACAAAATGCGTTCCTCGTTTTTTAAAAATAAAAATATTAACTAAAAGTACACAACAAAACTTTATAGTTCTGGTAATGAGGCGTCGCAAAATAATTATCTATGAGATCTAAAGATCCTCAAAATGTATTTAAAGAAATTAAATTTAATAAAAATTCATTCCCACTAATAGACTTATATCGATTAACGATGTTTTGTACGAACGGCAAATATATTTTTAATTTACTTTCTAGTTCAGAAGTATCTTCAAGAATTCATAAATAAACATTTGCAATTCTGATTTATTAAACTTTAACTTTGGCTATCAATTGCAATTGAAATATGTTCAAATATTTTACTTAATGACATCGTCTTTGAAAGGAAAAAGAAAAATATGTATGTACTTAGGTTGCATACAAATAAATATCAACAAAAATTGACAAATTGACAATAGAAAATTTCTCAAACTTAAAGAGCTGCAAAGCCTGCGTACATCTATTTTGTTTATAAACTTACTTTCACAAAAATTGATCGAAGGCATTTCAGTAGACATAATTGAAGTGAACCTGTTACACAGTATTTTAGCGACCGTGACTAAAGCATTTCGTGGCAAATGTGTCCACATTGAAATTCCGTTTTTAATCCCAGTTACAATCACAGTCGTTTAATGTGGCCTTGATGAGGTGAACTAATTAAAGCGGCGCAACCAGTGGGAACCAGCCCAACTAGGAAATGCCCGCAGAGGCACATGCAGAGCTAACCCATATACAAGTGAATGCCACATTGTTCGCACGCATAATGTGGGCTAAAGGATTTGGCGGCGCGCCGCAGGACGATAATGAACACAAATGAGCCGAGCGAAAGGAGTTTTTGCAAGCGCTCACGAAATGGCAAACATTTGCCAAAAACTAAACATATAGAACAATGGGCAAAGCCGGCGGACCTGTTGGTCCTCTTGCTGCAGAAGGACACGACCTTGGCGCAGTCTTTCAAGAGCAAAGCCAGTCGACAGTACATCAGCCAGCCTGCCAGACAGCCAGTCAACCATTTATAGAATTTGGCTGAGTATCTTTTGTTGCAATCTGATTGATTGCTGTCATGCGGATGGGAAAATATATAAAAAGAAACCCCTATATGTGAGAGTTACGGCAGCAGCTGGCAAATGGCTTCCTTAGACTGCACTCGCCGACGCCATTTTAGATCTGCCTATTATAGTCCTGGTTTTTACTGCAGAATTTAAAACCTTAAAGTGTTATTTTTGCTGCAGCTTGTAGGTGGAGCCACTTTCCATTTTGCCGCCCTCCCCACCACCCCACCCACTGGCAAATTAATCATACGGATAAGTACGCAGCTTGTGGCCCAGGACATGCGCAACAGTCGTCGTCCTCTGGCCAGCAGCCAAAGCGAGAGGCAAATAGCAGTAGAGCTTTCCGCGACGAAAGCTTCGTTATCTGGCTGGCCACACGCTGTCTATATAGTGTGTACATAATGGTATAGGGATATGTGTGGAAAGCAAATCAAAATGGCGTCACAGCCGGAATAATTTTTGAATGCCTCTAATGATGAATTCAGTAGCTCGCGTGTCGCTTTAGCTCAGCTGTTGCCCCTGCCGAAGCAGCAGCAACAACAACAACAACGACGAGCACGCCTAATGGCCTCCCAATTTTAGCTACAACTCCAGCTCGTGGAGCGCCATCTTGGCAGCTAAGTAGCTCATCGCCTGACAGCTGAGACGCGTTTATCATAATCAAATGTGGATGGACTCTGTGGCGCAGGCAGTGACACTGACACTGACTGCGACTCCGACTCCGACTCTGAATGCGTCGTCTACTGCGACAAAAAGGTTGGAAATTAATTTAAATTGCCTTTTGATGTAAATGCATTCCTCAATGCAGCGACAGCAGCAGCAGCAGCGGCGGAGGCAGCTCATCCTTGGAGTATGTGCTCCAGATTTGTCTTTTTGCAGTTATCATCGTTGGCTCTCTAAGTAGCTGCAACTTTTGCGCTGTGCGTGTGTTTGTCCTAAATGGCGCTTATTTATCAACTGCCAGGAGCAGATACAACTGAACCCCCCCTCCAATCCCTCCCTCCCTTCAGCTCCATACCCTCTGCAGCCGGCTGACCATTCACTAAGCTGGTTTTAGCTGCACTGCGTGAAGAACTCAAATGGCAGGGTATTAACGAATTGTCGTGAGTTGGTCCCCCGCCCTGCCACGCCCCGCTTGCAGCAGTCTTGTGGCATACGTATTGAACATTTTTCTTGGGTCGATGGCACTGTATTTAATTGAAAACTGCTGCAGTTCCGTTGAAGCGTGTTGCACAGTTGCATGTTGCATGTAGCACAGTTGCACAAGTTCTATGCCCACATTTAATTTGAAAATTCCTCTAGTTTTTTGTTGCTATGCAGCAGGCAAAAACAAAACTACAAACGCTGCTGATTGTTTCATATTAAAAGCGTGTGTGTAACAGCAGCAGCGACAACAACAACAGCAACAACAACAACAACAGCAACAACAACAGCAACAAAAACAACAACAATATTAACAACATGCGAGCGATGATGAAAAATCGCCAGCAACATGTTGGATGCTGCTGGGCAGAGCTGCCATCCCGTAAGGCTGGGGCTGGGGCTGATGCAGAGGCTAATGCAGAGGCTATGCGGCTCCCATCTCCGGCTGAACATTTTTACTGCCCGCTGGCAGATCCGACATCAACTCCAATTACAGAAGTACACGCAGGCGTCTCTCTTATGATTCCTAGTTTTCTTCTCCTTGTTTTTTACAATTTTAATATGGTTTCCCTCATGTCGTGCGGGCTAAAAAAGAAGAGTAGAAACCCAACGAAACGGTTGCATGTCGTTATGGAATTGTTAACCATCTGGAAACCAAGTGCAAGCATTGACAACGCTGCCAATGAATGCAGATACATGTACAAATTGTTTACCAAAATTATTTAAGAAATTGATAAATTGCAATACAAGAGGAATTGAATTTGAATATTATGCATTACATTTTAGTATTAATCAAATAATTTATACAAGTGCGCTTTTTCTTTTAAGTTTTTAATTTTATGCGCCTACTAATACATTTTTTAATACATTTATTTTTTTTTCATAAATAATTTTGCCAAACAATGTTTCTTTCAGCATGTTTTAAATTGTGTCTAAATAATAGCATGTCTTTAGCGGCCATATACAATATTTTGGGTATATAGACATAGCTTACAATATTACACAATAATTTTTGAGAACCATAAAATCATAAAAGTACACGTATTTATTTGTTAATGATCGACAAAAACGAGCGTTTTCCCTATTATTTAAAACATTAAATTATAATAAAATGTTAAATGATAAAGGGCTGAATTATACAATCTAAACTGCGAAGCGTGTATGTTTCAAGAGTTGCTTGAATTTATTCTCGAACACAATCGAAATTCAATAAAAAGAAATTTAATCATAATTTCGACAAAATATTGCTTAAACTTTGTTAAATTCACCTACACAAACAATAGTTGCATATTTATTGGAATTTTTTAACGAAAACATTGAATATACCCATTTTGAAAACATGTTAATTAATAACGAATCGAATATGGTCATTATTAGAGTTATGTCAGAAAGTTTCTTGGATAAACTTGCATATGGAAGTATTAAGTTTTTCACTTGACATAAACAATTTGTCTTAACGAATTCAAATGCAAATCTCACACAAAGAAATGAATATATACTCGTTTGTGTATTTCTTGTTTTGCTCGCTTGGAATTTGGTAGCAGGTCCGAAATTGATTTTTAATTAAGGCATTTAACCAAACTTGATGCCAGAGCCAGACCCAGCCCAAAAGCTCGTAACCCGAAACCGAATGAATCATAAGAACCCCAAGACGTCGCCAGACAATGTGGCCAATAAATTTAAATTCCGATTCCAAATCAGATTCAAAACTCGAGTGCAAACGAGCTCATTTTAAAGAGATGCAAACAAACCAAAACTTGGAGCAAGGTAAAAAATAAAAAACTCATTTGTAGCTTGTTTTATTTTTATTTTTTTTTTGTTTTCTGGAACTTTTTTGTTGGTAGAGGAGCGATGTAAAATTTTGAACGCAGCCAATAAAAATGGAAATGATGGCGCACAGAACGAAACGTTTATAAAATAATAATGCGAAATAATAATGTGACGGTGATTTAGCGGAACAGCGCCACGATTGAATACAAATAAAGTGCCTGGACGCGCAGGCGGAGCTGGGGGCTAATGGTGGGCATAGGGATGGCAACTTTTGGGGTAGCGGGACGCACTAATCTAGGATGATTTCAGCCTAATCTGGAGCAAAAAACAACAAAGCTGCTGCCGAGCTGAAGAGACGCGCGGGGTATAGCTGACGTTAACGTTGACGTTGACGTTGAGTGGCAGGCAATCATCTGCGTCGTCCAGCGTCCAACTACCTGTTTCTGTGCCGTTTCTGTTTGCCAGCTGTGGCTGGCGTGGAGCCGCCGCCGTCGCTGCTCCGCCATAGGCCGTTGGTCCAGGCCATGCGGCACCCCTGAAGCATAAATCAAAGCGAGAGGCGTGGCTTAGCTGCGTGCGAGCGAGCGCGACTGATTTTCGAACATGCGCACACTGTGTGCAGCTCACTCGCACTCGTTGTGTGCAAGCTAAATGATTTACAGTTTTCGAATACTCATACAGTCGCATGCTCACTGGGACTCGGACTCCACTCCGGCATACACCGAAAGGCTCTGTCAAACGTGAATCGAACGTGGCGCACTCAAGTACGCCAGCTGCGCGCTCGGTACCCGGTTAAATTTAATCAAACTTTTATTTAAACACTGGGAATAGTCGTATTATTAGTCGCGAAGCACTACACGTCCAGCTGGGTTGGTGATTGACTGTCAGCCCCACGCAGCTTTCAGGCGTCGGCAAAATTTTGATCAAAACTTATGCTATCAATGGAATATTTCGCTTAAATCAGAGTGAATCTAAGGGATAAATAAAAGGAACTCAGGCCTGAGGATATATGCAATATCAGAAATCCTTAAATTGGAATTTCCATAGTTTGTATACAAGTGAAAAATTGTAAAATCCTTAAAAATGCCAATAAAATTGGAGAATGTCACGACAATTGCGTAGACTAAACAAGTCAAGTGTTTTAATGTATTCAATACATACATATTTTTGAGTGTGCTACAAAAAAGCAAATACAATACATACTTTAAGTGAGGTGCTTAATAAAATTAAGTTCTCGAAGCAACAACACTCCCGATTGGATTTCAAAACTATTAACTAATAGGTAAGCAACAGTCCCAATATATAACAACTTGTATGGGGAAAACAATAGCAAGTGGATCAATAGATTGGCTATGTAGAATATGAATTCTAAAATTCATTAAATATAAGTTACAAGACTGCGGGGGCGTTAGTCAATAAACTTCTTAAGAAAAAATATAATAATAAAAACAAAAACAATTCAAGGTAAACACGCAAAAAAATATTTATAAACAAACAACTTATTCTGCGAATCTTATCGAGCTAAACTGTTTATGTTTGGTTCTTAAAAAAATGACTGAAAAATATTCAAATTGTCCTTTTGTGCCTTAAAAATACATTGTTTTGTTTGGCTACTTAAAGCTGAAATTAACTTTAACTTTCTCGGCTGTTATCAAACTTTTTCGGCTACACACACACACACACACACTAGCCAGGTTGCCGAATTCGAAGTTCGAATTTCAAGCGATCCCTTCGCGTACGTGAGGCACACTTACAGTGTACGTGAGATCAATAAGAATGTTCGTGAGCAAGTCGAAATAGAATGCTTTCGCACTCGAAGAGCGTAAATAAATTCGAATCGGCTCTCTTTCGAACTCACACACACACGCTCTCACTATTGTTTGCGGCTACACATTTCTGCGTCCGCAAAGGTAACAACAGCAGACCAGCAGCAATGAGTGCGAATGAGACAGCAGCAACCGCATTTAATGCTGTCTGACTGCTCTAGCACGCATGACCCGTTCGTATTTAGTTTTTTTATACGCGACTGTTTAATGAATGCACTCGAATGAATGTGTGTTTGCCACTGTCATGGCATAGCAGAAACTGTGTGTGTGTGTGTGTGTGTGTGTGTGTGTGTGTGTGTGTGTGTATGTGATTGTGTGCGCCTCTACTTGCTCGTACTCGCAGCTACAATTGGCGGCGCTGGCGCTGCGCGTTGCATGAGTTTTTTATTGATGCTCAGATATTTGAATTATGCCCGAGCAGTCAAAGTGAGACATTGGCGCTTCGAGCACGTATTCGCGGATACATTCATCGAAATAGAAACAGAAACAGAAACCGAAAACTTTTGGCCGTGGCTAAACAATCCGTCAATCCGTCAAAGCGTTCGCTCGCTCCGCGAATCGTGCGGCTCTCTGCCCAGCAAATACAATAACAAAGACGCGCATCCGTTGGATCCAACAACAGTCGCAGATACAGATACATTGCACGACGCGCAGCGCTGACTTTGAGCGATAATAACGGAAGATGGATGGGCAGCTAAGTGTTTTCAGTGCCAGTGTTTTCATCGATGACGTTTAAAATACATTCGCGCTGATGGATACCATAAATTCGGCGTGAACTACTCGCAGATACACTGCGAATCGGCACATCCTAATGAGATTCAACTACGCTCTTCAACCAGCCGCAGCCCAACTAGAACTGTGACAAATTACGTGCCTGCCCGCTGCGGCTAATTACGGTTATAAAATCCGCCAAACGTCAAGTGCAAAAATAAACTGTCAAAACTAACAGCAGGTAAAAGTAAAACCTCGCTAAACCTCGGTATGCAAACGGATTAACCTGAAACGATGCGGGCTTAATCGGTATTTGGCAATTAGCTAAAGGCCAAAAGTGATCGAACACGGAACTGTTTCCGCCCTTAATTGCAGTCATCACAAATACTGTTAAAAATTTTTGTCAATTTGTGAGGTGAATAACAAACAAATAAAAATTGCCTACACTCACATCACACTAAAAGTTAAACGCCGTCGGCCAAAAATTGTTGAAGTGAATGAATTTATGAGACTAAAATTGATTCTAAAATTTTAAGAAAGCAAAGGTAAAAATCACTTCCAAGTGTTAAAAAATTAATACCTTAACATTTTTTTATCTGAAAGTTTAATTATCGTTGAAACGAAGTGCAAAAAAAATGTATATAGCAATATTTCTGCCCAGAATTTTCACTAAACCGTAAACATAAAATATTTAAATTGATAGCTGATGCAGAACTCAAAACAGTTATTTATTTTTCACGCAAAAATATGATAAAACTCTAACAATTCTTTGAATTGTAGAGGCCTATTTTTCAAAAAATTGAACACTTAAAATAAAATGAGAACTAAAAAAAATTATATAAAATAATTTTATATGTATATATTTTATATAAAGAATTAAAAGAAGACTTGCAAATTTTGTTTTGCCTTATAGCTTTTCAACTATTTTTAATGCCTGTCTAATCAAATTGGTTAGTTGAATGTCAGAAGAAAAATATTATTTATTCCAATAAAGTAAGGTGCAAATGCAAATCTATCTATTTCTTATTTTAAGTTTTGTGGTTAACAACAAATAAATGTTTTATAAGAATCAACGTTTTCCTCTTTAGAAGAAAACAAATCACATAATTTACAAATATCTTTATTGTGTGCGACAATCGTTGCATCTGTTAATCTTAATTTATATTTTGCTGATTATTCTTGTGAATTAGAAATTTTACAGTCTACAGCTTTCTTTGGCAGTCATATTTACTTGATATATTAGATACAAGAAAATAATCAAATAAATATCGAATCGAGTCGCATTTTGTAATAAATTCTTTAATTTTTGAACAATTAGAACTATTGAAAATATTTGTTAATATCCCATTCTTGTATGAATCTTCAAATCGAATTGATGTATTAAATGGCATACAGTCGCAACCTTCAATTAAATTATGCTGGAAGCCCAGGCAGAACTCCTCAGTGCTTGGGCTAATCCAATTTGCTGTTGTTCTGTTCCATTTTTGTTTTGGGTTGCGTGCGCGATATCAACAGAAGGAATTTTCACTTCATTAAAACGAATGCAGCCGTTTTTGAAATAATTAAGAGCCACAAAGGCGAAATGTCACAGCGAATGAAAAATGCCTAACAAGCAGCCACAAACTACCTACTATACCTATAACATATATATATAAATATTTAGCTATATAAAACATGATGTATATAGATGTATGTATCTAAAATGTAAATAGTTTTTGGGAAACCACAGCCGTTGTACATAGGAATTGCGTGCCCAGTCATCACATGGCCGGGAAGTCATGCTGACCAGACCGAAACTAGAATTATGTTAAAATGTGACTCTGAGCTGCGCCCAAGAACACGTCTTCCTCTTACTAGACGCATTGATATGGAACGCTAACAGAGACCCATTGAGGGTGCCCACCGGGCGCCCATGGTGCGCCTAGGCCAATTTCGCTGCATGTGCACTTCTTTTAATCGCTCCGATCCCTGCCCTGATCCCTCACACATGGTAGCGGGCCAGTGAGAGTGGGTGAATCGTATTGCCACTTGATGTAGGTCACTTTCATTTGCATGCGCTCTCCCAGAGGGTGGTCGAGCAGATCTAAGTGCCCTCATTGGGCTGTTGCATAATGTGGACACAACACAAAGCCTGCTGCTGCTTGTGCTGCCCGGCGAGTTAATTGGCTGCCTAGTTGTGCACACACACTCATACCCGCGCACACACACACACACTGGGTCCAGGTCCAAGTCTGAATTTGTCTGCAGTTTTTGTTTAGCTTGTCAGCGCTTGAATTTATGCCATCATCATTCGCGTTTGGCCTGCGCCTGGAGCTCACATTCATCATGGTACTGGTCTGCGACTGGGACCGGGACTGGGACTGGGCCATGACCCAACAGCGGGCTAAAATGTCATGATGATATTTCAGCTTTGCCTATTTATATTTATAAATCAAAATACCGACAAAAAATAAATGTATGAAACACGCAAACTTTGCCGCGACAACAGCCATAACAACAACAACAACAACAACAACGACAATGCCTGCAAGTTGTTGATGTTGTTGGGGAGTCGTTGATCTATTGGGGCGACGGCAGCCATTTGCTCAACTTTGTATTTGGATGTGTAGGTACAATAAGTGCCGGGACACATTTATTTTCGAGGACTCCGGCAAACGGCAGAAGGAGACGCCAACTTTTCATCCTGGCTGATTTCTATGCCGTGCACCTTGATAACAAATTTGTGATTTACTACTTCTTCTTCTTTTTATGCATTCTCAAAGCGATGAAATTAGTTTATCTCATATGAAATGTTGAAGGTTTGAAAGCCATAGTTCAATATAAAGCAACACTTGAAAAGGAAACCTAAGCCTTACCTAGATTAGATTAGCTGGCTTACGAATCTAGATTTATATAATGCTTTGTAACATATACCGATTATATTGAGCTCAAAAATAAAACAAGAATGAATAAAACGCGATTAAAATAGCCTTGTATACATGGTTTTGCAGATAAGTGTAGATTTTGTTGAAAATTTCCTAAAAACAGTCAAGGATTCCATTTAAAATAGTGGTCCGATGTTGAAAAGCTATTGCACGGATGCAAGAAGTGTAGAAAAACTACAAAATGAAACTACATATATATTATTCATAAATATAAGCTTTAGAATATTGCTGCAGTTTCAGTAATCATCTCTCTAAGGTTGCATTGAGATTAAATGAAAGCGAGCAATATAATTAGAAGCTTTAATGAGCTTTCAAAGCTCAAAGTTTTAAAAATAAAACTTTTTACATAAAGTACGAGATTAATTTGTTATTTCGTTATTTAATTTTTTATTCTCTTCTTACAACTCTCACAAGTATTGTACAATCCTGAACACCTAATTTAGATTAGTAATAAGCAGTAGCCAAACCACATTGCACATTTGGGTTGTCCTTGGCTCTCGGATAGAGGTCAATGTTTTGTTTAACATACAACAATTACATAACCGATCGTAAATGATGTGTAAAACATTGAGTGCAAGGACACAAAAGGCAAACCGCAAACATGGGAGACGACAAGCACTTTTGAGTACGTGTCAAAAGGTCAACAATGGCCGCTTGCAGCGAGGATCGAGACAGCTCGAAAAACAAATCAAAAACAGCTCATAAAAATTATGAGAGACGCAACCGCAAAACAAAACACAGTCGAGGGTTGAGGCGAGAAACTGTAACAATAACAACAACAACAGCAGACTGAGAAAAAAAGAGATGGATAGAAGTGAGCGAGAAAAAACAAATAATAATATTTATGACTACTTTTATGAGGTGCTTACAAATTTTTATGAGTTTTTAATGGGCCCACTTGCATTCGTGTGCGTTTGTCGTTCCTTTTTGGCTCATTGTTATTGCTGAGCCATAGAGAATGAATGAAAGAGAGACAGAAAGAGAGAGGCAGAGTGAGAGAGTGAGAGAGAGAGATAGCAGACCGAGTTCGAGGCATGCCAATGAGTGTGACTGCGCGTGCGCAAATACCTTTTAGAATTGTGCGACTGCGACTGCGGCCTCGTCCCGTCTCGCCTCGCCTCATCTCGTCTCTTGGGTCTCTGCTCGAGCGCTGGCCTGTGGCAGTTTTTAGAAGCGGCATGTTTACATATACACGAGCTACGCCCATGTTGACAACAAATATTAAAAATTATGATTTATGACCAGGCCCGGCCGGGTACCAGAGTACCCCGGCCTACAAACAACAACCAAACAAGGCGCGCTCGAAATCTGTAATGGTGACGACGTTGGGCGACGACAACGGGCGACATTTGTAAAAGAAATAACTGCTTAGGGTTTTGTTCGTTTCATAATTAAGAGATGGCTGGGATATGGCCTGGCCGGGATGATGATGATGATGATGTACTTGCCAACGCCTGCAAAGTGCCTAAAAATGGATGACAATCTAATAATTCATATAGAGTGGCGTGTAAGAAATGTTAGATTCAAAAGAAAGATGAAGTACGCAATACTTTGGTTTTGACAGCTCATAAAAGATTACTTTCTTACAATATATAATAAAACAAATGCAAGAAATACTTTATATATTTGAAGTAGTATATTTTAGATGGTACGAATTATTTCATAAATTCCTTTACCAAACGTGAAATATGCTATGTTAGACTGGTTTCTACTTTCACACTTTTTCCAATAGAAAAAAAAGTTCAAATATAAAATGAAATTATTTTTTTTTAATTTGAGTACGGAAAGGGCCATTACGCAAACGTCAATCAAGTTTAATAAAACCCAAGACGAAAAAAGAAAATGCTTTATTCACCAAAAAAAAAAAACAAAAAAAATATGCGTATCTACACAATTTGAACAGTATATTTTTATATCTCTCTTTTCTATATTAAACATCGATTATGCAAAAGTTAATCATCTTAATTACAATGGACGACCCCGATCATAAGATCGACACCTCGAAACGTCTGCCATTGTCCTGGAGTTTTCACGATATGTTCCCAATACAAGAAACCCTTTTCAGCTGTCGCATTGGGCACAAATTGATTTATGGTGACATATAGTCGATCTGGGGGAAACTCTAGAGCTGCGCATGTGCAACTCAATTGCTGTTTATTTACTCGTACCTTCCGCTCCTTCTTCTTCTTCTTCATCTTCTAGTTCTTCATGTATGCAGCAGCATTTACCTGTGCCGCTGTCGGGCCAACATTTGGAAAGGGAAATTCGTTCTGCGGTTTAAGTATCCGTACAAGAATTTCACTCCCGTTTCGTAGGCATATTAAAAATGTTTATACAAAGGTGGCCCCGGGGCAGGGCATGGGCATAAAGGAAAATGCCCAACCGCGACGCAGACGCCGAGACAAAGGAAAGTCGCTCAGTTTTGCCGGCTTGTTCGCTCCCTCGTCTCAAAAATGTCGCTGCCCGAAAGAATTGCCATAATTTATGGCTTTCTTATGAGGCGACAATCAGCCCAGCGACCGACGAATGAGCCAGACCAGCGCCAATCTATGTATCCACTCTCTATATACATATCCATATGTGATATTTTTTTTTTTGTTTTTGGAAAGCGCGGAGAGAGCCCGCAAATTCGGTTTGCGTTTTCATTATTCATGGATTTAATTAACACCAATTGAACCGCTTGTCGCCCGACTCTTTGGAAAATAATTTCCAAACTCGTATAATTTATGGCCTTTATTTATTCGGAATTTTTAATTTGCCGTTAAGTGATCGAAAAAATAAACAACCGGCGCCGCAAGTTGGGTCAACACGCATTCAATTAATTGTAGATTAAAGATGGAACTTCCATTATCCATTATATTGCAGAAAGAAGATGTTCGATTATTTGTAGGCTAATCAACGGTAATTTAAGATTGATTATAAGATAAGATTTTCATAAGAAGACCAAACTTTCTCACTCACCATATATCCATTTAATTTTTGTTTAAAGATTATTCATGTAATTCCGATTTGAATGCCATCGATTTCATAACATTTAATCTTGCCTTCCAGTTCTTGGTTCGATTTGATCTCTAATCCCATTCCTTGGAGCAATGTCTACAAGTCGTAGGGTCAAAGTAGTTGCCTATCTTACCGTATAATTTGGATAATCAAATTGTTTGTATGTCGTTGGGCTAAACAGCTTGTGCTGTTGCCCGTGGGCTAGTCGAAAATCGAAATTTAAGCGAAATGCCGTTACAATTGCTTTAAACTCCATAATCGTCAAATACCCAGGGCCGAATGCGAATTTACAACGTTTTCGGGAACGCTGCTCATCAAATAAATCTCTGTCGAGCATTGGCCCAGGCCACCGGTTGCCCAGTTGTAGCCAGTTTTATCTGAGAACCCGCCAGGCCAAGCCGGGCCAGGCCAGGCCTGGGACAGGTATAGGGCCGGGGCCAGAGCTCAAGTCGAGGCCCGTACGGCGATTTAATTTAAAGCTTCAACTCCTTTCATTTGGACAACATGCTAAAGGGTTAAATTGCCCACTGAATCAAAATTATTGGTTTCATACGAAGCGCCCAACATGAAGGAGAAGCAGAAGCAGAAGAAGAAGCAGTGTAGAGAATAACAAGAAGACGACACTGAAGAGAGCAAAATATTTGCTTGCAGAGGTCGTTGCATTGTTTTTGGGCAATGGTTTCTTCTTCCTCTTCATTTTTTTTTCGGCCATGTTCATGTGCTCCGTGCATTGGCATTGGCTTCCTCGTTGTCTGCTGCTGGCCTGGTCTCTGCCATTGCGTTTTGTACTTTTCGGCTTTGGGGCTATTTTGGGCCAAGCTGTTGTTTCGATTTTTGGCCCAAACAAAACGTTGCAATCGTGGCCGCTTTTGTGGCTATCTCCGCTGCAGCGGGCCGAAATACAAGTTTTTCTTCATTCAAACAAACACTCTGCCAGCCAGCCATACAGCCTGGCCAGTCCACTGTATCAGCGATGGTGTCCAACTCCGAGCGGGCCTTTGTTTGCGCTCAGGCCCGGGCACAAGTGCAGCCGCAAGTTCGCGCAAGTGTCCAAGCAACGAGAGTGGGCGGGTCAGGCATTCCTGGCCTGGGCCGAGCTGTGCCACACCAAAATTGCATGCACGTAATGCCAATGCTTAGGCATATCCGCGCCTGCCCATCGGCTCAAGTGAAATTCAAACAGTTTCGCTCCCCGACTCCCCCACTCCGGAAGCAGGCAGTACCCAGTTGTTTTAGCCAAGGGAAATTGGGTTCTTAGCCGCTTCGAAAATAATTGTAATAATGATGCTCAGTAGGAAATAGCAGCTCCATTGAAATTACAAGCCCAAAGCTGTATACTTATTACAATCTACAATATAGGTAATAATTTTCGAATTTTATTTCAAATAAAATTCCAAGTAATTTAATATGTTTTTTGAATACTTTCTTATTTTAAATAAAAAGTTAAATTAATTCAACTTATGAGTTAACTTAAATTAAAAAAAAGACTGTTAAGAAAACAAAGCTCAATATTATATATTTGTGGTAACCTTTTCTTTTTCCAAAAATACACATTTAACCACGGTGCGTGCAAAAAATACACACTTTTTTATAAAATGCGAAACAAGATAATTTTAAGTTTATGCTAGGTCTTAATACTACTCTTATCTGCAACTAATGCAAATATTGAGAAGGCACAGAAGCTCTTTGAGCAGCAGAGCTAATCGGGAAGTGGGATCTGGATTGGGCGGGAACTCGTAGACTACACCTAAAGCCATTTGCAATCTGTAGTGTGCATCTTGCCGCCCCTGAGCTCGAACTGACACTGGAACTGTTGCTCTAACCACTGCATTTCATTTCAGATAGAAATCTTAGTGTAGCGGCTACAAAATGGATCCCGACTGCTTTGCCATGTCCTCGTACCAGTTTGTCAACTCATTGGCCTCCTGCTATCCGCAGCAGATGAATCCGCAGCAGAGTCATCCGGGCGCCAATGGCAGCACTGGCAACAGCGGAGGCGCGGGCGGTGCGAACGGCGGACAGGGCAACTCGGGTTCGGCGACGCCGGGCGGCAACGACTACTTCCCAGCAGCGGCCGCCTACACGCCCAACTTGTATCCGAACACACCGCAGGCCCACTATGCGAACCAGGCGGCCTATGGTCTGGGGGGCGGAGGCGGGGCGCCGGGCGGTGGACAGGCCAATCCTGATATGGTGGACTATACGCAACTGCAACCGCAACGGCTGCTGTTGCAGCAGCAGCAACAGCAGCAGCAGCACGCTCATGCGACGGCCGCCGTTGTCGCCCAGCAACAACAACAGCAGCAGCAGCAGCAACAGTTGCCGCAACAGCAGCAACAACTCCCGCAACAACAACAGCAACAACAGGCGAGCATTAGCTGTAAATACGCCAACGATCCGTCGACGCCTGTTGGCAACAACAACAACAATAACAACAGCGCCAACAGCAACAACAACAACCAGTCGCTGGCCAGTCCGCAGGATCTCTCCACGCGCGACATCTCCCCCAAGCTATCGCCCAGCTCCGTGGTGGAGAGCGTAGCCCGTTCCCTCAACAAAGGCGTGCTCGGCGGCAGCTTGGCCGCCGCCGCCGCCGCCGTGAGTCTTAATAACAACCATAGCAGTGGTAGCGGCGGTGGTGGCGGAGGCGGCGGTGGCGGTGGCCCCGGACCCGTCAATGTGAATGTGAACGTGCCCATGCACAGTCCGGGCGGCGGCGACTCCGACTCGGAGAGCGACAGCGGCAACGAGGCGGGCAGCAGTCAGAACAGCGGCAACGGCAAGAAAAATCCTCCACAGATCTATCCATGGATGAAGCGAGTACATCTCGGACAGAGTAAGTCGAAGAAATTGAATTATTTATTTTTAAGTTTGTTTTTAAAGAAAGTCTTGTGTTTTAATAGATTTTTTGCAAAACATTGTTCAAACATATAAGGTCACACTGATTTTAGGGATAAAATATGTAAATGGAAATTCTCTATGTATTTGTAACCAAAAGTTACTTAAATTATTTATTTATTAATTATATTTATATATACATATGCTATATATACACATGTACATAAATATAATTAATATATATATATATATATATATATATATATATATATAGTCACATTAAAAAAAATTTAATTTATGATTTGGTTTATGACAATACAATATTTAAAGTCCGATTTTTTTATATATTTATATATATATTTGTTTTTTAGATTTTCTTAACACATTTTTTCTCAATTCCAATGCGTACTTCCTTTTTCTGTTCAAAACATATTTGTGCATAGATTAACCAAATAGGACTACAAATTGTAATCTTATAAGCACGAACGCTTAACTTGGATTTTACTGAATATTATAATTAAACATCCGCTGCCTGATTGTTGACAGATCGAAGAGCAAAACTTAAATAATTGCTTAGTTACTTGACTTAATAACTGATTCAAATGAGTGTGTTTGAACAATTACGAGTACCTGTGCAGGCGCTTGGCCGCACTCATTCGCATGCGTTTTGTAAGCGAGTCACATGACTGGAAGCGGAGGCAGGGGCTACTCGGAGTATCTCCAGCACCAAATTGTCTGGCAAACTGAGCGCTCGGGGCAGCTTGTCAAAATACATAAACAATAACAAAAGATTTCCCTCACACTAACACTTGCCCATTTTTCTTGCGGCGCTGCGTGAAAACTCGACCGCGAAAATCGCAGCGCGTGAAATTGTAAACAAACGTATGCCGTCTGTCCCACCCCGAGCAGACCGAGCTCCCCGGACACGGACAGCCGGCACCCGCGGCTAATGCCGACAGACTCCCACAATAACTCATAATACCGAATACCTAATGCAGATACAGATACAGATACGGCTGGAGCACAGATACAGGCCGAGATACTGTTGATATGAATCTCGCACCTCTCGCTCCGTTTATATTTAAATTCTCCAAATTTCATGAAAAATTGTTACGCCTAATGCTGCCTAGTGCTAGAGACTGTGCATTCTATAGATACACTGTGCTCTCTGCACAACAAAATTGTGAGACGAAAAATTGTTCAGCGATTTTTCATCATGTCAATGGCGCGCACACAGATTTTTCTTTAACACTCCAAACACTCCCCCAGCCTGCCCCCGCCACCAGCCAGCTTTGCTGACCCCTTGGCGGGGAAACTCACGACGAAATTATTGCTGGGCTCAGGCATTATCGAATTTATTGACGCAGCCACAAACTGCTGCCAGAGTATCAGGTGCATGGGGTCCAGTAGGTCGCGGTGTTTGAATCAATCTCAGTCAGCTGTCAGCGTCGTGCGGCTCTTTTGCTTTGGCCAAAATCAATTAACAATTTCTATAATTTCATAAAACTTTTTTAAATACCCATCGAAGACCTGTCATCGCCGACCGACTCGGTTCATAGCTGATTGCAGCCAGTTGGCAGGCCTGGCTAATTGCAACTAGTTGGCAAGCCCAGACACACCTCTCTTTTGCTTTTGTTTTAAATCTGGCATTAATAAACAATTAACTGAAATATTAAACACAGTTTATTTTTAAAGGCTGCAAGCCAGTTTTGAATCGAACCGGTTTCATGCATGGAATTCCAATTTTACACTAACCATAAACCGAGCCTTGAACCGGATTACTTGGTAAAAGAACAGTCAAATTTGAACTTTAACCGAACCATGTATTAAAAGAGGTTTGAAACAGCGTTCAACGTTGGTAAGGCGTGGATTTGAACCCGCAACAAAACCAGCGAAAACCTTTTTCGGGCTTGTAACCTTGATATTCTTAGTATATTCCACTTGATCGGTATTTATTTAGCTTTAACTCTCTAATGACTATATATAACCAGCGAAGCGTTCGTAACACAAATTGGCATCGATAATTGCCAGTTGCCGGCTGAAAATTGCATTTGCGGAGGCAAAACTTGACAACCCAAAATCACAACATGTCAGCCAATTAAAGAGTCGTTGAAAAGCGCCAAGAAATGCATTTGCATGCATAAATACACAAGCCAACAAGAGCAACAAAACCAACAACCACATTAGTAAATACATATTGATTAAGCAGCAGAAAAAACGTTTTGCGATTTTCCATTTGTACAAAAACTCGTTTCATGCCGTCCAAGTCCAATCAATGGGGCATATTGTTATTATTATTTATGTATCTGTAACTCATGGCAGCCAACAGCTACAACAGCAACAACAATGAGGGGAACCTGGAGAACAAGTGCACAAAATAATTATAGCGCAGAAAAGTAAAGCGAATTGCCAAGATGCGTATTACTCGTATCTGGTAATTGAAGAACATGAATGAAGCCAACTAAATGCACACGCAGTCTGCCATTTTTAGCATCGGCAAACACTCAAATACATTTGCATACGATCTTGGGCATGAATGTGAATTATATATACAAGCATGCCTCTATTTTATGTATCTGTTTTTATGCATCGATGAGGTTTAATTACATTCTATCATCTGCTGTTGAGGGCAATGTGAAGCTCACTCAGCTATGAGCATGTGTATGCGTGAGTACTCGTACGAGTGTATTCATGAATAGCCACGTTGCCACTGGTAATTAGCTGCCAACCCTTTGCAGCAGGTATAACCCATGTTTACTCTTGAAATCGAGTGTGCTTATGTGAATGGGTATGACCAGTGTTATGTTAAATATGAAGCAAACATTAATTAAGTTATAAATAAAACAAGTAGGAGTGCTTTAGTCGGGTGTGCCCGACTAGGAGATTCCCTGAACCCAGCGCTGAGTTGCCGCTGTAATCAATGTAGCCTCCTTCTATATATATATGTATATATAAACGGCCACGGCAATCTTTTCATACTATTCGAGCACACACAACCCCGAATTTTGTATGTCTAACTATTATAAAACTCGAGTTGTTTTGTCTCGTGTTTCAAAATAGATTTCTATCGATTTTTTGAAAGTAAGACGAGATATCGGGATTAGTTGGGCTTATAAAATGGTTGGAGGTTTCATAAACAAAACATGCTTTAGCAACATATTTATGATTGCCTTGAGGTCAACATTATAAAAGATATCTCAGCATTTACAGCACTCGATAGGGAGAATCAAGCATATAGTTATTTTGTGAGTTAAACTGGCCTCCACTTAGGTCCATCAAAGAGTGTTTTATATATTCATGTGTGTATGTGCCTATATCATTGTTAAAACGCGCAAAGTCAATAACCTTTTGCGCTTAAACAACCTGGTGGCCAATTAAAATCAGTTTCTCGAATGTTTCTTATCGCTTGGCGCTGTTTCACTCTCGTGTACAACTTAATTTTCGATGGCAAATGTCTTCATTAAATGCCAATGCGCCGGGCTCTGGCATATTACCATTTGAGTGGTCACATTAAAACAACAAACCCACCCAATTCAGCCCACTAAAAAAACAGAACTGGTATTAGCGAAATATTATTAAAATGGTCCCAGGTGGCAGGTAGTCCAAATACTATAGAGTGGCGGCAGCGGGGTACTAGCTGCAACTGCATGTTCCGGCGGCCAGAACAGGCCCTGATTAAAATCCAGCAGCAACAACAACAAGAGGCATCACGACAATTACAACAACAGCATGTTAACAATTATGCAAATTTGTGTGCATGTTGCGGCGAGTGGCAACAACAACAACACCAACAGCCACAGCTACAACACGTTGATGGCATATAATCACGTCAAGTTTTTTTCTCTATGGCCACCATATTAAAATAAAGTTAAACGCCATCTTCGAGACGCGCCTCAATTAGGCGCAGCACGAGAGAGATCGTCAGGCGAGAACGAGAGAATTCTGCAAAACACCTTTTGCAGCGAACACCCCTGCTGCACACTCCTTTCTCTGCCTGCAACGGAGATTGAGACTCAGTCTGAGCCAGAAACTGAGCCTGAACCTGAGTTTGGGCATTTGCATTTTGCATCTAGTTAAAAAATGTTTTGGCTTAAATGAGCTCATAACGGCGCCGCACGCCAACAGTAGCTGCAGCTACAGATACATCTACAAAGCGAATAAAGATACAGATACATCTGCAAATGCAGATACGTTTAAATATCGCATGCAATCTTGTGAAGTTGTTGTCTGCATTTCTCTAATTGACAAGACCAAAGCTGGCGACTTTCCAAGCAATTTCGTAGCAGATCATCAAAGGTCTTTGCGCTTCATCGTCCGCCCACAAATTGAAAGCCGAACGCATCTATGAGATACACAAAACTGCATACCTGCCTGCCGTCTGCAAGCCAACGAAATATCAAATGCTTATTAGATGCAACAGGCCGCACCCCACTGCCCCCGGCCCTCCACCCACAAGACTCAATTGCTACAAATTGTCAATTTAATAAATTTGTGAAACGCGCCGCAAATGCAGGCGGTCGAGGGACAATCGCAGTCGCCCGACTGCACCCTAATTAGCGGGGCTTTATTTATAAAATTTAAGAAATCAAAAATTAAAGCAATGCTATGCACATTTGAATTAACAAAGCCAGGGTATACAGGGCGAAAAATAAAATGAAATAAAATTTCAATTATATTAATTTCGGGGATGCATTTTTTTGTTTTAATATATCTAATACGAAAGATTGTTCATTTTGCGTTCAGAAATTTATCGAAATTCTATAAAATTGTACAATTATTTCTAGTCGCAAAAAGTAACCAATCGCATATAATCAAACTCAGGAATTGCCTTTTGATATTTTTAAGTAAATAGATTAATAGATTTACATTCATAAATTCATAAAAAACTATGTCCAGTTAATTATAGGAAGTCAAATTCGAGGAACTAAATACATAAATATAGATTTCTGATTTGCTCGCTTGAATACTCATATTGATTTATAAGAGATACATTTCTTA